TTTTAAATTAACTTAATTAATTTTTCTTTAATTTTTTAAAAAATTAATAATTTTAATAAGTAAATTATTTTAATTAATTAAATTAATTAATTGTTATTTAAATAATTTAAAATTCATAAATATTATTATTAAATAATTATAACTTGAAGAAATATTTTGAAAGGAAATTTAATTTTATTATAGTTTTATTTGGTGTTAAAAATTAATTTTTATTTTGAAGTTATGTCATAAAACCATGGCAAGACCGAGTTGCTCTAAGGAATGTCATACTTGTGGACAAACTGGCAAGGGCCTTTCCACTGCCTTGACATGTAGTTTTCAAGGTTATATTGCAAACATGGCATAACCAAGTAACTGTCGTTTAATCTGGAAAATGCCTGACTTGTGGAAAAACTGGCAAGGGCCATGAGAGAGCCTTACTTAAAGTAGAACTAAGTAGGGAAATTTCTGCACAGGATAACACATTTTTTGTCTTCGATGGAAAATATTATCAACAAATTGATGGTACTCTTATGGGTTCTCCAATTTCTGCGTTTTTCGCTGATATTGTAATGGATGATTTAGAAAGTGATTGCCTTAAAAAATTAAAAATTGAACATAATTGTGAACCTAGTTTTTACTTTAGATATGTTGATGACACTATTTTATGTATACATAAAGATCATATTAACCCTGTCATTGAAATTTTTAATTCTTATCACAATAAATTAAAATTCATTTATGAACAAGAAGATAACAATCAAATCAATTATTTAGATATTTCTATAATTATAAAAAATAATAACATTACATACAACTGGTATCAAAAATCATTTTCTTCTGGAAAACTCAACAATTACTTTTCGAATCACCCATTGCAAAAAAAAATAAACATTGTATATAACCTTGTAGACCGAGCAATGTTATTATCACATCATTTGTTTTACAATGACAATTTAATAAAAAATTAATAACATTTTACAAAACAATGATTATCCACTTAAGTTGATTTAAAAAAAAACTCCGAAATTCGTTTAAATAGCATTAAATTTCGTAAAAAAATAATAATATAATAATATTGTAAATTCACAAGCACTTTTATATAAACAAATTCCTAAAGTCAGTTTACCTTATAATAACTCGAATTTCATTAGATTGTCAAAAAGTCTAAAAACATACAATATACATACTATTTCTATAGTTAATAAACCTTTAAGATGTATTATAAAATTAGATAAAAATCCTATTGACAAGTGGGATGATACGAATATAGTTTCTAAATTTAATTGTAAAAACTGTCCAGCGAATTACATTGGAGAATCTAAACGTTCATTAAAAACACGTATTAATGAGCATAAAAAAACTAAAAATAAAACAGCGGCTCAATCAGTAGTACATTGTAAAAAGTAAATCGTATTTTAAGATGAGTCTTAAATTCAGAAGTACTAGCCATAATGTATTTAAATTCAAATTGCATGTAAATTCATTGCTGAGATTCAGCAAGGGCTGTCTTAAAAATGTTGCCTCTTAAAATAAGACACCTTTTCCGTCTTAAAATAAGACTTTATTTTTACTGTGTAGGATTACATCGATCAGAATTGAATCATGAGTTTGATTGGGATAATGTCATTATACTAGATCGTGAACTAAATTATAAAGAACGTTGTTTTTCAGAAATGTTACACATAAAAATTAATGATTTCACTATTAATAAAAAAGATGACATAATGTATCTGAATAAAATCTACTTCCCTTTAGTTTCCAAATTATACTCGTGATTCTATTTTTCGGAAAATATTTTACTTCCACGTGCTGTTTACATCTAAGAGATAGCTAGTCTTCTCTATTTCATTTGGATTTTTAAATTTTGTATTTTGAATTTAGTCTTGACGATACGTGTCTATAAACCTGACGTGCCAACTTAGTCTGAGCAAAATAAAATTTTCTAACGTAAAGATTTAACGGTTCAACTAATTATTATTGGTAATTGTTATTATTTGTGTATTTTTATTATTTATAAAAAAAGATAATGTGGTGTTCTAAATAAAATTATAAATATTTTTATTAGATTTAACCTAAAGATGACGACGAACCAAGTCATCGAAACGTCGTTTTTTATTTTGTGGAAATAAACAAGATTAATAACATACATTTTTTATGTTATTTTATTCCTTCCAAGGATCGAATTTTTCTCATCTTTTTATTAAACATTCCGGAAGGGAAAATTCTTACTCTATATATAAAGAATTGCTTATCAACAATAGTTAAAGAAAATTTTTAAGAATTTTAAACAATGTGCACGTTGATTACTAAGGTTCCTTAATTTAATTCTCAATATTAATGACCCATATTCTCGTAAGTTTTGATTACATATTTTTTAAATAAAGCAAACTCATCAAATAAAAATCACGCAAGACGATTGTCAATATTTTTAAATTTTTCGTATAGGTAATACAAACATTTATTAATATTATCATCAGCATTAAGTCCGATACATATTACAGAAAGAAAAATTTACATTTATAACATTTGATTAAAAAATGTCTTAAAAAATATTTTTAAATATTCAATAAAAGGAAAAGAAATTTATTTTTTATTATAAAAAAAAGAAATACAATTTGTCGATGGAAAATTTATCTTTTAATGACAATTTTATTTTAAATATTTAAAAAAGTGCCTATATTTTTTTATTTATATAAAAGTTAATAATCTTCATTTTGCAATTTAAAAGTAATTAAAATTTTCTGCAATAAGATTTTTAAAAACGATGAACAAATGTTTACGTTGCATTAATAATCATATTTTTCATGAGACAATTACAAAATATATACAATGTGTGTATGACGTATAACGAAATACTTTGTAATCGTTTATTTTAATTCAGAAGATTTTGCACATTAGCACATATTTCAGTTTGTAAAAAATTTATTCCATAATTTAACGAGATTGTTATTTTTATTTAAATATATCGGTAAAGGTCAATCAAACATATAAAATTTATTAAATTTTAATAATTATATACTTTTATTTTAGAATTTAATTACGTTTTAATTAAGATTTGTTTAATTCAATTTTAAAACAAAAGTATGATCATTATATAATTTTAAAAAATTTAAATTTTTGATTGACCTTTACCTATATATTTGAGATTATGTGACTATTAAGTCTGTAATGTTAATTTGTCCGTAACTTTTCTCGTGAAATGATGAATGGATTGAGCTCAAATTTAGGTTAAAAAAATCATTGAATAAAAAAATTTCTTTGATTCAAAACATTTAAAAATTTCTTTTTCGTAAATGGAAAAAAAACTTTTTTTAATTCAAACAAATTTTATCTTTGATTCAAAAAGTTAGTGTAAAGAAACGATTTGTTTATTTCAGAGACATTATTTTCTTGATGTACAGCTAAAAGTCACATAACTTTAAAATGATAATAAGGTAAAATTCGTTTTTTATTCTTGAATCTATTTCAAAAATGACATATTTTAAATTTTATTAATTTTTTGAGAAAAATAAGTGTCTTATAATAGGTTCATAATTTCATACGTGTCTGTAATTATGGGTCGGCAAAAGGCTTTGTCTCAAATCAAGGTACACTTTTTAAATCCCCTTCACCTATTATGGGTCATGTCAATTTGCTTATTTATTTACAGAATCTCTCATTATAATTATTTTCAAGGATCATTATTTATTTATTTTAATTATACAATATATAAATAAACAATGATAAATAATTATAAAAGTTGCAAATAATTAATTGAATCCAACATAACCTCTAAATTTTGTTTGCACACAATTTAAGTTGTACTTGTTTATCTATTTCATGTACAATAGTACAAAAAATGACAGCTAGAGGACAGCAGTAGGCGGCTCATAAATTTTTTTTTATTTTTATTATAAACCGTGTAGAAATCACCCACTTATGCCTAAAATGATTTTTGGCCCAACAATGGTTCTACTTTAGCAGCCCCTGTTTATATATTCTAGGTTGGTCCTAACTTGGACTTAGCTAGAAGATTTAGTTAAGTGTTAGAAAATTTTTTATGAAAAAAGTGATTGAATTTAGAATTTGTAAAATATCCTCAGATGATACTTATTTAATTAATTGATAATTATTTATATGGTTTTAATAATTTATTAATTTGCAATAAATATTTGAAGACATTTTTCTAGGTGCACTACAAAAAAAGTTAATATAAATAACAATAAATTGTTTAAACAACTCTCAGAGTTTAATTTAAATGAGTCTTTTTACATCTGTATTCCCTGCAAATGAAATGAATTATTATACCTAGTTTAATTCAATTATTTTTAAAATAATTTAATTTTATTTAAATTATCTAATATAAACTTTTTATTATCTTATACTTTATTTTATGTAAATTATCTTACTTTTCGACATTTCGATAATTTAAATAAAAAATATTCTAAAAAATATGTTTTTTTTCTACAATTTTCAACGGTGGAGCACAACTCCCCAGGTTTTTGAAAAAAAGTCATAAAACTAGTATTTTTGAAAAATAATAAAAATTTCTATTAGAATTTGAGATTCTTTCGATTATTGGAAGCAATAAATAAAACACCAAATTATTTATTCGGCAACGTTTCGGTGTCTTGGTTTGACACCATCATCAGGACACTTTATTAAACCAAAATTAGAAATTAATTATTCACAAACTTATTAGAACTTAAGTTTGTGAATAATTAATTCCAAAAGTTGCGTTTGTACGCGTGTACTAAAAGTTATATATAATAGAATAGTAAAAAAAAAATTTATATAATAGTTTTGATCGAAAAACAAAACCCGGTGCACGACTCCCCACTCTTCCCTATTTTATTGTGTATATTTTGTTGAACAGTCCTTTATTGAAATTATCAATACATGTTTATCATATAAATTCATAAGCATAATTTAAATTATATGTGCCAAATCAACATTTTTCTTGTCACTATGTTTTGAATTTCGATAACAAAAAAGTGATTTAAAAAGTTATATTCAAATTTTTTAAGAACAAAGAAGAATTTTCGTATATAAACCGAGAACAAAGGCCAGAAATACCATCAAAGTACAAGATATTGTATAACAATCAAAATGAATAACTTTCAATTATTTTCCATATTGTTTGGCATTCTATTTATTTTTTCCATCTCTTCCGATGCACGTCCTAACAGATCTTTATTGAAAAATGTAAGATTTTATTAATTTTCATTTTGTTTTCGATTAATCTCTTTATATCATGTAAATTATATTTTAAAATAGTTGAAAGCGATAAATATTAAAAATATATTGCTTTGACCCTCTCATAGTTGTTCCAAGATGATAAGTAACAGTATTTTATTTTATTTTATAAAATATCAATTAAATCATTTCTGCTTCTATCTATAGTTTTTAAAGAGTAATCAATAGTTTATTTAGTAATTTGTTCATATTAATTATTTTTTCTGATGATTTTTTAAATATTGTATGAAATTTTTTTTTTGATATTAACTTTATAAAAGATTACTGTTTTTTAATAACTTTTCAAGAACTGATCCGGTATATTAATAATTTGACTGGTTTTTGACAATTTTTGAAATGTCTTATGTAGAAAAGTAAAACAAAAAGTGTCAATAGCACACAAACATTATTTTTATTTTTAAAATTAAAAAAAATCACTTATGTAGAAAAATAAAAAATTCTTTGGTCTCAATAGTATGTCACATTTTACTTTGCATACCAAAGTTTATGTAATATTTATATATTCTGAACTAAAAAATTTTGGTGGCCGACTACTGTATCATTCACCCTATATAGTATCCAATATTTTTTATATTTCGAAATTATAAATCAATTAAATTTCATGATTAAAATAATTGTTCATATTTAATACTTTTGTATAATTTGATAGAGTGGAAACGATATTTTTGGAACAATTATTTATATAATTCAAACTTATTTTATTATTGTTTTTAAACAATATTTATATATATTTTTTTTGTTTTAGTTAAAATTCAACGTAAATTATTATTGAACTTAATAATATTGCCTAACTGTAATATAAATTTGGTTTGTGTAAGATTTATTGAATTGCAGTAAATCAAGGCTGTTTGTCTGAATTTGTTATTTTTTTTTTATTTTGTTAAAACTTTTAATATGTTTGAAGAAGTTTTCTTTGCAACGTTTTAAATTCGAAAATGTGTCAACTTATGTTTAAAATTTAAAATTATAATTAATTTACATTATCATTAATTCATTACATAAAATTAATTATCAGTGATAATAGAAAATTGTACCTTCTTTTTTATTTTTAGGAGCAACATTCAAAGTTGATAGTCAAACGCTCACCAAATAGGTAATTTAATATAGAAAAAAAAATTTTTAACTTTTAAAAGAATTATTGATTTTCATTTAAACTTAATGAATTAATTATTTTTTAATGATTTAACTAGTGAAAAAATTAAAATAATTAATAAATAATGTTTTAAAACGCTTAATCTGTTTAACAACGAATAATTTTTTGATTTTTATCAATTAATTAGGACAAAAGTGAAATTATTAAATTAAATAATTAACTCAGGACATTTGTGATCAACTTTCAAGTTTTCTTAGCACTTTCTTCATTTCTACTTTAAATTTATAAAAATTATTAAGTTAAAAGTATGAGATCTTTGAATGTTCGCCAACTTTACAATTTAAGCGTGTGCTTCCGATATGGGGGTACCTCCGATTTTAATAAAATCGAAGATCTCAAAAAAAACACACATTTTATGTCCTATACATTTTTTAACAAAAGTGATAATTTTTCGAGAAGCATTCAGAAGACCATGAAAATTAATGCATAATATACCAATCACAGTCATTGTATGTGATCCCTTCGCCAAAGTTTCTTTAAAAAATGAACCGCATTATTTCTCCATCATTTTTTATGTTAATTATGGTTTTTTGTATTTTTCTCAAAAAATTATCACTTTTCGTAAAAAATGTATAGGAGATAAAAAGTGATTTTCTCTTGAGACCTACAACTTTTGTTAAAAACATTTTTCGAAGTTTTGCGTTTTTTACGAGTTAATCGCAAAAAACCATGATTTTATGATGTTTTTTTATTGCTTTTACCATGATAATCAATTTTGCGCCATTTTTCACAATCATTTTCGTAATCAGCGTACACCAAAATACGTTACCCAGATAGCACGGAAACTTGCGGTAAGCTTGCCGCAAGCTTGTTGCAAGTTTCCGTGCTATCTGGGTAGTATACCAAGTTTTATTAAAATTGGAGGTACCCCTATTTCGGAAGTATATCCCAATTTAATATCACTTATAAAGTAAAATAAAAAAATTGTCCATTTTCACTTATTTTAAATCACACCAAAATCTACACGCATCGAAATACTCATTTTGGTCCCGAATCTAGTTTAAAAAAATATAATTGTTTAAAAATTGCACATTATTTTTTTTAGGTTAAAAGTGTATATTTGCGCTTCTAACTTGAAGTTTGTTTTTTCTTATGAATGAGAAATAATCTAATAAAATCTAATTTCAAGTTGTAGAAGCAAATATACAGTTTTAACCAGAAAAAAGTGCAATTTTTAAACGCTTTCAACTTAATACTTACTAGCGATATATTCCTCGCTCGCTAACGCTCGCTCGGTTGAAGTTTTACTTTTTTTTCTTTACGTATTGTAGTTTATTCATATGTATATTTATTTTTTGTTTTAAATTATTATTTCATTATAAATTATAATAATTCAATTTTTTTAATTTTCAAATTACTTTTTAAAAAAAATTTAATTTAATGTAATAAAACAAATTTTATATGTCTGTTGACTTAAATTCTGATTTTATTCTACAATATTGATTGTAAATTGTTTCTCTTTTTTTCAATTGCTACTAAATTCTATGTAAGGAAAACTGGTAAGGGCCTTACCACTTTTCCTAACGAATACCCTACTTTTTAATATTATATAGTATTCAAATTTGTAAATCTAAAAATATATTTTTAATTCAATATAATTAATTAGTACTATTAATTGATTATTTTATTAAATATATAATCGAACTGATCTTCGTATTTATCAAAGCCAAAACGCATGTTAAATCGTTTTAGCTATCTCCGTAATCAATGATTTAAAAATCTAAAAGGGTTATATCTTCGGAAGTGTGCATTGATTGAGTGCATTTGTGTAAAATTGGGAGTGGCATGAGATGCTTTATTCTTTGTTTTTTAGAAAAATTGTCAAGAATTTATAATTTAAAATTCAAATTTTATAAATATTTTTAAAAAAATTTTATGGTGTTGCTGTTAATGAAAAATTATAATACAATGTAATGAATATAAACATGAAACATCAATTCAAAAAACAAGATTTATTGATTCATTATATCGAAAAAAATAAACATATATCAAATTTTAAATTATTATTGTTAAATAATAATTAAATTCTTAAATCATAAGAAGTCTTATTTGTGTCAAAGTCATTTGCGACGCCATAATTACAGTCATGCATGAAATTATTAACATTTTTTCATTTTCCATTTCCATTTTTTAATATTATATAATAAAGGAACCCAAGCAGCACGGTGTATCCCCTCAACATCCCTTGAATATCACCGTGGAATATTCCAATGATTTTCTAAGAAAACCAAAAAAAATATATATATCCAAGCAATATTGAGGGAATATTCCAGTGATATGGATGAAATATTCCACGGTTATATTAAATTAAATTTTTTTTAATCTTCCTGATTATTTAAATAACAATTTATAACACAATTCCATGATTTCAACACATTAATAAAGTGGTTCATTTAATAAAAATATTTAGCTTCTTCATCTTGATTAACAGAACTTATACTATTAGTTTTAAAAAATTAAAAATTTTCATTTTTTGTGAAAAATAATGCCAGCAATTATATTCTGACAAAAATCAATTAAAATGTTTATATAGGAAAAAGTTATTTAAAAAATTCAATTAAAAAATAAGGAGAAATGTAAAAGATATCGAAAAATGAAAAAAAAATTAAGAATGAAGAAATAAAATTACAAAATATTGAAAAATGTAAAGAATATCGAGAAAATTGTAGAAAAAGAAAATTAGAAGCCAATAATAATATTAATTTAAAATGTTTGAAGTTAGCAAATAATATAGTAATTTGGATGTTATTTGTTAATTTTGTCCAGCTAAGCATTTTCTTTCAGAAATGCCAGAGGATAAAAAGTTTAGTACATGTTGTCATAAAGGCAAAGTTTTGTTAACTGAATATCCATTACCCCCGGTAGAATTAAAGGAAATAGTTTGTGGTCAAACTGCAATTAGTAATCATTATAAAAAATGTATAAGAAGCTACAACAATACAATAGCGTTCGCAACCTTTGTGCAACATATGCTTCTCTACAAAATAAAGGTCCTCAAGTCTTTAAAATGTGTGGTCAAATTTACCATAACACATATTCATTACATCCCAAAGAAAATGAATTCAGAAAGTATGGTCAACTGTATATAATTGACAATGAATTAGCTACACAAAGTCGTAAAGATATTAATAATAACTGCAGAAATGATATTTTATCTAATTTAGATAAGTTGATCAGAAAAATTAACCCTTATGCTAAAGCGTACAAAATGATGTACGAAGTAGAAAAAGAAGAACAAGAATTTGTTACTAATAATAATAATCTACCTCGAGAAATTAAAATGATTATGAAAAGAGATATTAATTTAGATAAAAACCGATATAACTCTCCTGTTACAAATGAAGTTGCTGTTGTATTTGTTGATGAAAATGATGAACCTCCAATAAAACGCGATTTTTGTGTATATTCTAAATTTGATAAACCAATTAGCATCCCTGCAATAAGTAGATATGTAGATCCAATGACATATCCTTTAATATATCCTGCAGGAGGTAGTGGTTGGATGCCGAAATTATTATCAAAAGATCAAAGAAACAATATAACAGCTTTACAGTTTTACTCATTTAAAATTAGTGTTAGAGATGAGTTTAGTCCATTTCTTAATTTAGGTAAATTAAGCCAACAATTTATTGTCGATGCTTTTGTAAAAATTGAAGGTGCAAGATTATATTTTATAAAGAAACAACAACATATCTTGAGAACTGAATTATACTCTGGATTAATGGATTATTTACATAAGAGAAAAGAAGAGAAGAAAATTGTTCAAATTCGTAAAATGTTTATATTGCCATCTAGTTTTGTTGGAAGATCTAGAGCATTACAACAAACTTTTAGTGATGCAATTTGTTTAGTTCAAAAATATGGTAAACCTGATTTGTTTATAACTATGACATGTAATCCTAAATGGAAAGAAATTACTGATAATATTAAAAAAATGAAGATGTAATAAATAGGCCAGATATAGTTGCAAGAGTATTTAAACAGAAAGTAAAAGAATAGCTTCATAAAATTACTGTGAAAAAAATATTTGGTACTTGTATTGCTTACACATATGTAATAGAATTTCAGAAGAGAGGATTACCGCATATTTACTTATTACTATATTTACATATAGATGACAAAATAAGAACAACATACGATGTCGACAACTTTATTTCAGCAGAAATACCTGATGAAATAACTAATCCACGTTTATTTAATTTAGTAAAGCAATTTATGATTCATGGACCATGTGGAAAACAGAACTTAACTTCTCCTTGTTTGAACATAAATACAAACAAGTGCACTAAAAATTATTCTAAACAATTTAATGATAATACAGATTTTAAAATTAAAAGGCTGCGCTAGAAATTATCGGCTGCGCCTTTCAAAAGTTAAAAAAATACAAAGCTACGCTGAACAAGAGCGGCTGCACCTTTTAAAAATTTTAATAAAAAATAAATGGTTGCGCTCAGAAACATCGGCTGCGCTTTACAAACAAATATACATATAAAATGGCTGCGCTGGAAAATCGCAGCTGCGCCTAAAATCAATGTTTCTAAATGAAATTAATAATTAGTACTTTTACTTCATTAATTACTGTTCATACATTTATTGTTTTTTTTTTAATAATAAAACCACAATATTTAAATGAATTTCATAAATAGTATTTATTTTCTACCTTTTCAATCCGAAGACAAAAAAGACAGAAAATGATGTAATATTAAATACAAGTTTCATAATAGAAATTTTTGCAAAATTCATGCAAATAACTTAAAAAAAAAAAAAAAAATTTGGCATTTTTTTTTTGAATAGACATGTATGTAAGGCATGTGATTTCAAATTTTGAAGGAAAACTGTAAATAACTTCAAAAAGAAAACGAAAAATTTGTTTGTGGTGTCGGTCGGTGTCGGTCGTTTTAGAACTTAATATAATAAGAAGGATATGAGGGAAATTGAATATCGCCATAACTTTGTGAAAAAAAATTTTTTTTAGCTGAGATTTAAAATAGTGACGTATTTTCTGTGTTATTATCGTAAAAAAATAAAAAATTGCAAAAAATTGCAAAAAATTGCAAAAAATCGCGCAAAAAAAAATTAGGCATTTTTTTTTGAATAGACATGTATGTAAGGCATGTGATTTCAAATTTTGAAGGAAAACTGTAAATAATTTCAAAAAGAAAACGAAAAAGTTGTTTTTGGTGTCGGTCGGTGTCGGTCGTTTTAGAACTTAATATAATAAGAAAGATATGAGGGAAATTGAATATCGCCATAACTTTGTGAAAAAAATTTTTTTTTAGCTGAGATTTAAAATAGTGACGTATTTTCTGTGTTATTATCGTAAAAAAATAAAAAATTGCAAAAAATTGCAAAAAATTTTTTTGGCAAAAAATCGCGCAAAAAAAAATTAGGCATTTTTTTTTTGAATAGACATGTATGTAAGGCATGTGATTTCAAATTTTGAAGGAAAACTGTAAATAATTTCAAAAAGAAAACGAAAAAGTTGTTTTTGGTGTCGGTCGGTGTCGGTCGTTTTAGAACTTAATATAATAAGAAAGATATGAGGGAAATTGAATATCGCCATAACTTTGTGAAAAAAATTTTTTTTTAGCTGAGATTTAAAATAGTGACGTATTTTCTGTGTTATTATCGTAAAAAAATAAAAAATTGCAAAAAATTGCAAAAAATTTTTTTGGCAAAAAATCGCGCAAAAAAAAATTAGGCATTTTTTTTTGAATAGACATGTATGTAAGGCATGTGATTTCAAATTTTGAAGGAAAACTGTAAATAACTTCAAAAAGAAAACGAAAAATTTGTTTGTGGTGTCGGTCGGTGTCGGTCGTTTTAGAACTTAATATAATAAGAAGGATATGAGGGAAATTGAATATCGCCATAACTTTGTGAAAAAAATTTTTTTTTGCTGAGATTTAAAATAGTGACGTATTTTCTGTGTTATTATCGTAAAAAAATAAAAAATTGCAAAAAATTGCAAAAAATTGCAAAAAATTTTTTTGGCAAAAAATCGCGCAAAAAAAAATTAGGCATTTTTTTTGAATAGACATGTATGTAAGGCATGTGATTTCAAATTTTGAACGAAAACTGTAAATAATTTCAAAAAGAAAACGAAAAAGTTGTTTTTGGTGTCGGTCGGTGTCGGTCGTTTTAGAACTTAATATAATAAGAAAGATATGAGAGAAATTGAATATCGCCATAACTTTGTGAAAAAAATTTTTTTTTAGCTGAGATTTAAAATAGTGACGTATTTTCTGTGTTATTATCGTAAAAAAATAAAAAATTGCAAAAAATTTTTTTGGCAAAAAATCGCGCAAAAAAAAATTAGGCATTTTTTTTTTAATAGACATGTATGTAAGACATGTGATTTTAAATTTTGAAGGAAAACTGTAAATAATTTCAAAAAGAAAACGAAAAAATTGTTTTTGGTGTCGGTCGGTGTCGGTCGTTTTAGAACTTAATATAATAAGAAAGATATGAGAGAAATTGAATATCGCCATAACTTTGTGAAAAAATTTTTTTTTAGCTGAGATTTAAAATAGTGACGTATTTTCTGTGTTATTATCGTAAAAAAATAAAAAATTGCAAAAAATTTTTTTGGCAAAAAATCGCGCAAAAAAAAATTAGGCATTTTTTTTTGAATAGACATGTATGTAAGGCTTGTGATTTCAAATTTTGAAGGAAAACTGTAAATAATTTCAAAAAGAAAACGAAAAAGTTGTTTTTGGTGTCTGTCGGTGTCGGTCGTTTTAGAACTTAATATAATAAGAAAGATATGAGGGAAATTGAATATCACCATAACTTTGTGAAAAAAATTTTTTTTTAGCTGAGATTTAAAATAGTGACGTATTTTCTGTGTTATTATCGTAAGAAAAAAAAAAAATTGCAAAAAATTTTTTTGGCAAAAAATCGCGCAAAAAAAAATTAGGCATTTTTTTTTTGAATAGACATGTATGTAAGGCATGTGATTTCAAATTTTGAAGGAAAACTGTAAATAACTTCAAAAAGAAAACGAAAAATTTGTTTGTGGTGTCGGTCGGTGTCGGTCGTTTTAGAACTTAATATAATAAGAAGGATATGAGGGAAATTGAATATCGCCATAACTTTGTGAAAAAAAATTTTTTTTAGCTGAGATTTAAAATAGTGACGTATTTTCTGTGTTATTATCGTAAAAAAATAAAAAATTGCAAAAAATTGCAAAAAATTGCAAAAAATCGCGCAAAAAAAAATTAGGCATTTTTTTTTGAATAGACATGTATGTAAGGCATGTGATTTCAAATTTTGAAGGAAAACTGTAAATAATTTCAAAAAGAAAACGAAAAAGTTGTTTTTGGTGTCGGTCGGTGTCGGTCGTTTTAGAACTTAATATAATAAGAAAGATATGAGGGAAATTGAATATCGCCATAACTTTGTGAAAAAAATTTTTTTTTAGCTGAGATTTAAAATAGTGACGTATTTTCTGTGTTATTATCGTAAAAAAATAAAAAATTGCAAAAAATTGCAAAAAATTTTTTTGGCAAAAAATCGCGCAAAAAAAAATTAGGCATTTTTTTTTTGAATAGACATGTATGTAAGGCATGTGATTTCAAATTTTGAAGGAAAACTGTAAATAATTTCAAAAAGAAAACGAAAAAGTTGTTTTTGGTGTCGGTCGGTGTCGGTCGTTTTAGAACTTAATATAATAAGAAAGATATGAGGGAAATTGAATATCGCCATAACTTTGTGAAAAAAATTTTTTTTTAGCTGAGATTTAAAATAGTGACGTATTTTCTGTGTTATTATCGTAAAAAAATAAAAAATTGCAAAAAATTGCAAAAAATTTTTTTGGCAAAAAATCGCGCAAAAAAAAATTAGGCATTTTTTTTTGAATAGACATGTATGTAAGGCATGTGATTTCAAATTTTGAAGGAAAACTGTAAATAACTTCAAAAAGAAAACGAAAAATTTGTTTGTGGTGTCGGTCGGTGTCGGTCGTTTTAGAACTTAATATAATAAGAAGGATATGAGGGAAATTGAATATCGCCATAACTTTGTGAAAAAAATTTTTTTTTGCTGAGATTTAAAATAGTGACGTATTTTCTGTGTTATTATCGTAAAAAAATAAAAAATTGCAAAAAATTGCAAAAAATTGCAAAAAATTTTTTTGGCAAAAAATCGCGCAAAAAAAAATTAGGCATTTTTTTTTGAATAGACATGTATGTAAGGCATGTGATTTCAAATTTTGAACGAAAACTGTAAATAATTTCAAAAAGAAAACGAAAAAGTTGTTTTTGGTGTCGGTCGGTGTCGGTCGTTTTAGAACTTAATATAATAAGAAAGATATGAGAGAAATTGAATATCGCCATAACTTTGTGAAAAAAATTTTTTTTTAGCTGAGATTTAAAATAGTGACGTATTTTCTGTGTTATTATCGTAAAAAAATAAAAAATTGCAAAAAATTTTTTTGGCAAAAAATCGCGCAAAAAAAAATTAGGCATTTTTTTTTGAATAGACATGTATGTAAGGCTTGTGATTTCAAATTTTGAAGGAAAACTGTAAATAATTTCAAAAAGAAAACGAAAAAGTTGTTTTTGGTGTCTGTCGGTGTCGGTCGTTTTAGAACTTAATATAATAAGAAAGATATGAGGGAAATTGAATATCACCATAACTTTGTGAAAAAAATTTTTTTTTAGCTGAGATTTAAAATAGTGACGTATTTTCTGTGTTATTATCGTAAGAAAAAAAAAAATTGCAAAAAATTTTTTTGGCAAAAAATCGCGCAAAAAAAAATTAGGCATTTTTTTTTTGAATAGACATGTATGTAAGGCATGTGATTTCAAATTTTGAAGGAAAACTGTAAATAATTTCAAAAAGAAAACGAAAAATTTGTTTGTGGTGTCGGTCGTTTTAGAACTTAATATAATAAGAAGGATATGAGGGAAATTGAATATCGCCATAACTTTGTGAAAAAAATTTTTTTTTAGCTCAGATTTAAAATAGTGACGTATTTTCTGTGTTATTATCGTAAAAAAATAAAAAATTGCAAAAAATTGCAAAAAATTTTTTTGGCAAAAAATCGCGCAAAAAAAAATTAGGCATTTTTTTTTGAATAGACATGTATGTAAGGCATGTGATTTCAAATTTTGAAGGAAAACTGTAAATAATTTCAAAAAGAAAACGAAAAAGTTGTTTTTGGTGTCGGTCGGTGTCGGTCGTTTTAGAACTTAATATAATAAGAAAGATATGAGGGAAATTGAATATCGCCATAACTTTGTGAAAAAAAATTTTTTTTAGCTCAGATTTAAAATAGTGACGTATTTTCTGTGTTATTATCGTAAAAAAATAAAAAATTGCAAAAAATTTTTTTGGCAAAAAATCGCGCAAAAAAAAATTAGGCATTTTTTTTTTGAATAGACATGTATGTAAGGCATGTGATTTCAAATTTTGAAGGAAAACTGTAAATAATTTCAAAAAGAAAACGAAAAAGTTGTTTTTGGTGTCGGTCGGTGTCGGTCGTTTTAGAACTTAATATAATAAGAAAGATTATATACTTAATGTAAAACTGAAGAAAGTGTTAAGAAAACCTGGTAGTTCATCATAAGTATCCTATATTTGATGAATTTTTATTTAATTTATAATAATTCCACTTTTTAGTAATTAATTGATAAAAATCGCAAGATTATCTTGTTAGACAGACCAACTTCAAAAATATCTTTTATTTATTATTTTAATTTCATAAATTTGGAATATTTTCTTTCTCATTATAAACTTGTTGTTCTAGCTGTGACAGTAGCTCTGACAGTAGCTCTGACAGTAGCTCTGACAGTAGCTCTGACAGTAGCTACGACAGTGAGTGTGTCATTTCTTGCTGTACTACAAAGACGACTACTACTACACAAGCAAGTAAACCACTTGTAACTACTATATCCCCTCTTGTACAAGACAAATATACTGAAGTATCTACTAAAGCCCCTCTTAGACTAATTTCAAGTAATAGAGGGAATAATGTTTATATACGGGGCGCCTTAACACCGCCAAAACCTGCCAAGTAGGTAGGGATTAAAATGTATTGAAACTTTTCAATACCTTTTAATTCTGCTTTCTTCCGAATACTATATTGAATCCCTACAAGAGTATTAGAAGGGATCAAAAGGCATTAAATTAAAATTAATTATTATTAAATAATAATTCTGTTAGAATTCTAATTCTTTCCTTGAAAAAGTATTAAAAGGTATTAAACACGAACAATAGTGGATGGCATTGACTTCATTCAACTCCTAATTTTTATTAAGACATTGAATGGCATTCAAATTTTACATAAAATTTTTATGAATTAAAATTAAAGGATTGAAACCAGGCAGATTTATAACCTACCAAAGGCATTAACTGGGATTCCGGAAAGAAACGGAATTAATTAACATTTAAAGGCATTTGATTGTCTGTTTTTTTAAATGCTAACACAGCCCCACAAAAAAAAAAAGTGTCGTGCGCGGCAGACCAGACTAGTCATTTCCTATGTATTTTGACGCGCTGAACACGAATCCGAAGTCCGTTTTGCTCCATCACGTCAGGATTTTTTTCTAACCTCCAAAAACCTGTCGGATTTTGAGAGGTAGGCTATTTTTTTTTAAATTGATGGATTTACTTCAAACTTGGTATCTAGGGGTTTTTTTGGTCGCTGATGACGAATTTGAAGTTAGATTTTCAAAATTCAAAATGGCGGCTCCAATATGGCGGACGAATTTTGTAAAAATTGATGGATTTACTTCAAACTTTGTATCTAGGGGTTTTTTGGGTCGCTGATTACGAATCTAAAGTTAGATTTTCAAAATTTAAAATGGCGGCTCCAATATGGCGGACGAATTTTGTAAAAATTGATGGATTTACTTCAAACTTGGTATCTAGGGGTTTTTTGGGTCGCTGATTACGAATCTGAAGTTAGATTTTCAAAACTATGGAAATTCTTATATACATAAGTAAGGTATTCACGTCTGTTTATGGTAGCGCACTCTTTTGTCCTCAAAGGATCTGTGTAATGGTTTTCTTTTTAAATTGGTGCCTCCAGGTACAATATCCCTTTTTAGCATCCAACAGTAGTCGGCCATCATATTTACATCCCATCTTCCTTGATAACGACGCTCAAATTCTTTCAGATCTTGATGAAATCGTTCTCCTTGTTCTTCACTGTAATCTCCCAAATTTTCAGGGAATTGATCCCGATGCGAGTCTAAGTAATGCAACTTTATGCTCATTAAGCATCCTAACTTACCAAAGTTTTTAATCATATCACTAACTATTTGCTCCCAATTTTCACTCTTGTGATTACCCAGAATATTTTCGACAACTGCTTTAAAACTAAGCCATGCGGCTTTCTCCTTTTTATTCATCTTGGTGATAAACTGCTCATCTTTTAACAATTTGCGAATACGTGGTCCGTCGAAAACCCCTTCTTTTAGTTTAGCATCAGAGATTTCTGGAAACTTTTGTTCCAGGTATTTGAAACAGTTTCCTTTTTTATCTAAGGCTTTGACAAACTGTTTAATTGCTCCTAGTTTCGTGTGTAAGGGCGGAATTATCACCTTTGAAGGGTCGATATCGTCCGCCATATTGGAGCCGCTATTTTAAATTTTGAAAATCTAACTTTAGATTCGTAATCAGCGACCCAAAAAACCCCTAGATACAAAGTTTGAAGTAAATCCATCAATTTTTACAAAATTCGTCCGCCATATTGGAGCCGCCATTTTGAATTTTGAAAATCTAACTTCAAATTCGTCATCAGCGACCCAAAAAACCCCTAGATACCAAGTTTGAAGTAAATCCATCAATTTTAAAAAAAATAGCCTACCTCTCAAAATCCGACAGGTTTTTGGAGGTTAGAAAAAAATCCTGACGTGATGGAGCAAAACGGACTTCGGATTCGTGTTCAGCGCGTCAAAATACATAGGAAATGACTAGTCTGGTCTGCCGCGCACGACACTTTTTTTTTTGTGGGGCTGTGTAATTAATACCTTTTAATACACTCCTTCTTGCCGGGTTAGAGCCTAAAGATATGCTATTGTATGCATTTGACGAGTGTAAAATGGAGTTTAGACCCAAAGAGATACCCAAGTAGCACGGAATATTGCTTGAATGTCAAGGTGATATCGAGTGGGAATATTCCTGTGACATACAGGTGATATTCGCGTGACATTCATATGATACTGAGGGAATATTCCGTGCTACTTGGGTATGTAATACAATTTTGCCATAAGTTTTTAGAAAAAAATAAAAAGTTTAGAAAAAAAACTAAAAAAATAGTAATAAATTAAAATTTTTGTATGTTTACACGCAAAAAGCTTATTGAACTACGAATTGTACGAAAATCAAATTTTTTCATATATATTTATACTCATGGTATTTTTTAACACAGCAACTGTAATTTTACGTTTATGTTATATAATAACATGCAAATTGTCAAATTATACTTATATTATGTTTTAATACTAGCAGCTTGTACTTTAATTTACTACGTCGGACGTGAAGCAAATAATTTCCAACGTCCGACGTTGTAAATTTCCAACGGAATTTTTTACAGTGTAAATTAGAGAGTTAGCTAAAATGACGATTAGGTCAAACAAAAATTAGAGCAAATAAAGTTTATGGCAAATAAAAATTAGATTAAATACAATTTTAGGCCATATGATGATTGTTACAATCAAATTTAGACCAATTGAAATTTGAAGAAAATTCATGAGTGCTTCTTTCTATGTATTATGATTGTTTTATGATTGTTCAATAATTATTTTTTATATTTCATATTACTACATATGTTTTATTAATCTGTATATGTATATGATTTTTAATTGTTGTAGTTATAGTGTTATTGTGAGATAATAAACTAATTCTAAAATGTTAAAAAAAAAATTTCTTTTGATCACTTTAAAAATCTTTGTTTCTATTTTGAAATTTTCATATTTTTTTTTATATTTGCCCATATCCATTACTCGAAAATTTAAACTAACAGGAGAACAATAACAATTTAATGTGCCTTATCTCATTTATATATAGTATTATTTGTATCAAATTGAATCAATTTTTTTTCATTAATATCTTTTACATGGAGCCAATTAATCAGTAATTAGTCTTTTGAAGTAATCAAAAATAAAATTTATTATTAATTTTCTTATTTAAAACAATATATTTATTCATGCCTTCTAAATTACTAATTTTTAAGTATCGAAATTTCGATCGCCAGTAGCAATTTATTTACCGCAATTTAGAAAATTTCAAATACATTTGTATCACACCTTCCATTACAATATAAATATGAGGCAAAATTCCTGAAATGTCCGAACAAAAAATTAAAAGTTCTCGAATTTAATCCATACTTTTCTAAAATGTTGTTATTGTTGGTGAAAGTCTAAAAATCAATTATTATTGAATTTAATAAAATAGTTTTTGAATTATTACAACGTTTTTAATTTTTGACTTTTGAAAAAAATAATTTTTTCAATGTACAATATTTATAAGTAGAATGCATAAAAATTAACATATATATAATGATTTTTAAAGCTTTTTTGACGGGCTACACGCTGCTGATAAAATTTTTTTTTTAAATAACATTTGACCTTGAAATTCAAGGTCAAAACGTTAATTTACGTTTATCTCAAAATCGGATTTTTTAAAATTATTTTTAACTATCTCAATGGAAAGCTTGACTAATTTCCTACAAAACATGTAATTTTCAGAGTGGGATCTTTTAAGGGTTTTGAGATATTAATTAATTAATGTTTATAACAAATGAAATATTTTACAAACGAATAAAGTTACCGTAATTCTGAAGTTAGCAATTGAAACTTAACGTAATTCCGCATCCAACGAGCCCTGTATGAAGTATTTTGAATAAGTAGATTGGTAATAAACAATTAGTTAACATTGCAATTGTTTATTAACAATCTACTTATCCAAAATACTTCATATAGGGCTCGTTGGATGCGGAATTAGCTTAATTTTCAATTGGTTAGTTTAGATTTACGATAACTTTATTTGTTTGTAAGATATTTCATTTTTTATTGTTATTTAACTAAAATTGAACAAAAATACTTCATATAGGGCTTTTGGATGCTTGTTGTTAGTAAAAAATAAAATATTTTACAAACAAATAAAGTTATGGTAATTCTGAACTTACCAATTGAAAGTTAGAATATTCCGCATCCAACGAGCCCTATATGAAGTATTTTGGATAAGTAGATTGTTAATAAACAATTGCAATGTTAACTAATTGTTTATTAACAATCTACTTATCCAAAATACTTCATACAGGGCTCGTTGGATGCGGAATTACGTTAAGTTTCAATTGCTAACTTCAGAATTACGGTAACTTTATTCGTTTGTAAAATATTTCATTTGTTATAAACATTAATTAATTAATTAATTAATTAATATCTCAAAAACCTTAAAAGATCCCACTCTGAAAATTACATGTTTTGTAGGAAATTAGTCAAGCTTTCCATTGAGATAGTTAAAAATAATTTTAAAAAATCCGATTTTGAGATAAACGTAAATTAACATTTTGACCTTGAATTTCAAGGTCAAATGTTATTTAAAAAAAAAAATTTATTAACAGCGTGTAGCCCGTCAAAAAAGCTTTAAAAATCATTATATATATGTTAACTTTTATGTATTCTACTTATAAATATTGTACATTGAAAAAAATTTTTTTTTCAAAAGTCAAAAATTAAAAACGTTGTAATTCAAAAACTATTTTATTAAATTCAATAATAATTGATTTTTAGACTTTCACCAACAATAACAACATTTTAGTAAAGTATGGATTAAATTCGAGAACTTTTAATTTTTTGTTCGGACATTTCAGGAATTTTGCCTCATATATAAAGTATACATTTGAGGTAAATTTAAAGAATTAATGAAAGTTAAAAAATTAAAAAATTCACATTTTAGCAATAAAATTTTGCTTTCTCTACGAGGAAGCAAATTTTTTTGCTGATCGTAAAGAGGAAGCAAAATGTTCATGTAATGAAAATCTGAATTTACAACTTGTTTACATTATATAAATATTTTTTTTACTTTTTTTATTATATACATTATTTGTTAGTCGTCATCTTTAATACAATTTCATTTAAAAGGAAATTATATGTATTCATTTAATTTACTCTTTTGTTGTTAAATTATTTATATAATTATTAATTAACAATTATAAATAAAAATGGAACCACCGCTATAGACATTTTGTAAAATTTGTACTTTTATTAATATTACTTTACTCAATTATTTCAATTACATTTGAGTTATTCGTTTAAAATTTATTAGTTATACGTATTTTTAATATAAAATACAATTGCCTTGTTTGTAATTGAAGAAGTGAAAAGTTTGTAAAACCCTGTTAGGTATACAACGAAATAAATTGTATTGTATAAAATACAATTGCCTATGAAAATATTTTATATCTTCTTGTTTAATGTAATAAATGAACAAAGTAATCCACGTCATCAAAAATTACTCTTTTATAATCTCCCATTACAATAATTTTTCACAAAATTTTGATTATTATTACTAATCCACAACTCGATGAATTCGTTAAATAATACTTAGCATTTATTAAAAAAAAATGTAAAAAAAATTATTGAGAACAATAATTAATTAAATTATTTAATTAATTTTGAAATTACTTTTTGGTTACAGATTTAAGTTACTTAATAATAATTTATATTGAATTTCTATGTTTTTATTATTTGATATTTTTATATATTTAGTCTTATAATTTATTTTTGTAAAATAAATTTTTTAAAAAAACTTAATATTATAAATTATTTTATTTAAATAATTTATTGATAATATGAAATTTTTATATAGAAACAACTGCATCCGACGAGGAAATTTTAAATGCCATCTTGGATTATTGTTAGAAGAAAAATTTTAATTGCTTTTTTAAATTAAATATATATGCGAAATAAAAAATGTATATTATTTCAATAAATTTATTTCAGTACATTAAAAATTTTTAAATTACAAGTTTCTCCAATTTTTTTGGATTACGCATAGACCAGCATATATTAGTTTTTTTCTTAATGTTTTTTATTTCATTTATTATTTTCAAAAGTCAAAAAATTCGACCCTTGCTTTTCTTGCTCCAACATCTATTGCGTGAAGAAAATTTATTCAAATTGTAAAATATAAAATTATTAAGATTTTTTTTAACATTTACAAAAATTTAAGGATTTGAAAAAATTGATAAAGTATAGAATTGAAAATTAATAAATAAAAAGGAAAAGAAATAAATGTAAAAAAATCCACATTTATTGAAAACTAAATTTACAATTCTAGATTTTTAATAAAAATAAACATATATAATATATATTAAATAATTAATTACATACAAGTAATGATAGAAATTCCATAAAAAATTAGATCATGTAATTTCATATTCACTTCTATAAAGTTTTCATTTATACCTATTATTATTATTATTATTTAATTTACCAAATCATAATTTTTTTCCAAAATGTTTTTTTTTTAAAGGAAGTACAAATTTTCGTCGACTAATTAGGAAAAAAATTATAAGAAACGTAAGAAAGAATAAATAAATGAACTTTTTGTAAATCGAAAATCAATTTCAAATTTTCAAGGTAATAAAATAGCTGCGCAGTAGTTTTCTATGGCTTATTCTATAGCTGTGCAGTTGTTTTTCGCATGTATGGTCAAATTTGGCTTAATTTGTATCTGAATCTAATTCATATTTTTCCCTTAACTTTTTTATTTTTCTGAATGACCATGTTACGAATTTTATTTACTATCCTTGTTTGACCTTTTTTCCATGTCGTTTATGATGTTGCTTTGATTTTGGGTTTGGATTTGGATGTGGATTTGGCGCTTGCGTTGTAGTAGTCTTCTTAGAGCGAATTTCACTACTATCGTAGGAAGAGTCACTATTAGTCTCATTACTATCATCCTCATAACTGCTACTGTCACTAGAATAAACACGTTGATGTTGAGACATTATTAAAAAAAAATATCAAAAAATGTTTGAGAAAAAAAATTCCCATAGTTACCAGCGGTAAAAAGGCTGGAATTGAATGGAATTTAAAATGTTGTGTATTATAAAAATAAATAGAAATGTATAATAATGAAAGCAATCCTCTAAAAAAAAGGATTACTTTTTTTTACTTATAACTAAACAAATTTGCCATGAGATTTTTACAAAAATAAATTATTTAAACTGATAATTTTAATTACCCATATGGTGAGCGTTTGACTATAAATTTTGAATGTTGCTCCTAAAAATAAAAAGACAATGTACAATTAATAATAACGTTCAAAATTAATTTTTTATTATATATAAATTAATAATAAAGTAAATTAATTAAAATTTCGAATTCTTAAACATTGGTTGCAACATTTTCTGATTTAAAACGTTGCATAAAAGTGTAAACAAAATACACAAAAGAAAAATGTCAGAGTCAGACAATATTGTTAGCCTTGATTTATACTTAAATACACATACAAATTTTATATTGTAATTTCCTTCATTAGCTGCAATATAAAAATTATTTCATCTATTTCAATTATTAATATGATTAAAAAAGTAATATTATTTTTAAAAATATTTTAATTTTCATTAAAAATTTACAATACAATCGTTAAAAACAACTGAAATCATCATATTAATGCAGCGGATCAGTTTAAATAAAAGTGCGTTTAAAAACAATAATCCGAAATAAATTTAAGAAATTTATTATGTTAATATCAAAAAATTTTTTATAAAATTTTTGAAAAACCACGATAAAAAATAGTTAAAGGGTAGAATGACAAAAAGAGTCAAGCGCCACTTTCATTTTTTTCTCAGTATACTGAATAAAATTAAATTGACGTGAAACTGGAAAATTAGTTTCTTCCCATTAAATTGATGACTTGAATTAAAAAAAAATTTGCTTGAGAAAAGTTATTTGTTTTCGAGAAAACTTTAAATTAAGTGCTTACTTTGCAATATCTCATTTTTAAATTTAATTGCTAACAATTATTATTATAATAATAAGAATAGTTAAAAATAAATAACAAATTATATTAAAATTATATAAAATTAAAATCAACAATTTATCATTAATATTATTATTATTTTGATTATTAAACCTTTTTTAATTATTTTTGTTTTCTTAATGTTTTTAACCTTATTAAATTATTAATAATATTGTAATATATTAATTACCACTTTTAAAATACTATTTAATAATTATTCTAAAGCAAAAATAATTTGATTAATTATTGACAATTTTATAACAAATTTTTCAGAAAATTACGCGTACGTGTCTTATGAGGTTTCGACTGTAAATTTCGTGGGCTTTTAAGAGACTATTTTTTACACTTTAGAACAACTTTGGGGAGATTAAAGCAATACATTTTGGACTATTCTAGAATATGTAATTTATATGATAAAAAAATTAATGGAAAACAAAATGGAAAATTCAATAAATTTTATACAAACAAAATTTATATTGCAATTGTGGAATATTAATTAATTAGCAAAAATATCATTTGCTATTAAATTATACAAAAATATTTTTATCTGAACAATTATTTTGTATCATGAAATTTAATTGATTTATAATTTCGAAATATACAAAATATCGGATACTATACATGTACTTTTATTTTACAATACAATTGTCAAAAACCACTCAAATCATTAATGTACAAGATCAAAGCAATATATTTTAACATTTATCGTTTTGGACTATTTTAATATATAATTTACATGATATAAAGAGATTAATCGGAAAGAAAATGAAAATTAATAAAAACTTACATTTTTCAATAAAGTGCTGTTAGGACGTGCATCGGAAGAGATGGAAAAAATAAATAGAATGCCAAACAATATGGAAAATAATTGAAAGTTATTCATTTTGATTGTTATACAATATCTTGTACTTTGATGGTATTTCTCGCCTTTGCTCTCGATTTATATACGAAAACTCTTCTTTGTTCTTAAATAATTTGAATATAACTTTTTAAATCACTTTTTTGTTATTGAAATTCAAAACATAGTGACAAGAAAAATATTGATTTGGCACAAATAATTTTAATTCTGATTGTGAATTTATATCATGATCAAGTATGCTATGCTTTAATTTTTGTAAATTCTTAATTCGTTACTCATTATTTTCAAAAGAATTTTTATCAAATAACAACAATATATAATTGACTCATAATTTTCATGAATATGTATATAAAGAATTAAAAGTTGAGAAAAATTCGATCCTTGGAAGGAATAAAATAACATAAAAAATGTATGTTATTAATGTTGTTTATTTCCACAAAATAAAAAACGACGTTTCGATGACTTGGTTCGTCGTTATCTTCAGGTTAAATTTAATGAAAATATTTATTTTATTTCAAACACCACATTATCTTTTTCTTATAAATAATGAAAATTACCAATAATAATTAGTTGAACCGTTACATCTTTACGTTAGAAAATTTTATTTTGCTCAGACTAAGCTGGCACGTAAGGTTTATAGACACGTATCGTCAAGACTAAATTCAAAATTTAAAAATCCAAATGAAATAGAGAAGTTAATGAACTTAGATGTAAACAGCACGTGGAAGTAAAATATTTTCAGAAAAATAGAATCACGAGTTTAATTTGGAAATTAAAGGGAAGTAGATTTTATTCAGATACATTATGTCATCTTTTTTATTAATAGTGAAATCATTAATTTTTATGTGTAACATTTCTGAAAAACAACGTTCTTTATAATTTAGTTCACGGTCTAGTATCCCGTGCAAAAATTATGGTCTGGGCCTCTCAAGGCCCTTCCCAGTACGCCTGGATTCTGGCAAGGGCCTGACATGGCAAAGTGGCAAGGCCCTAGTAATGGGTTAAAACGGTTTTGCAAGGGTTTGCCCTACTTAGGGATGAACTTGCCAGGGCCATGAGAGTTTTCCTGGGAATTACCCTACATTTTGTGACAAAAAAAACAATCAGTGAAAAATGTACTACAGGCTTATAATCAGTTATAATGAGTAATTGATTGAATCAGTAAGCAACAAAAACAGAAGAATGCACAATTCTAGCCTGACAAATAATAATCCCAAAGTCGACCCAACTTCAAATACGTAGTAACACCAACACTAAACAAAAAAATTAAATATGGAATTAATTATACAATTAACACATTATTTATTACTGGAGACCTTACATTTACCCCTACCTATTATTAATATTCGACATTAAAAACTTATCTTTCTTTTCTTTTAATAAGTCATAATTTTATTTTAGTCATTGCAAATATATATACACTTACAACGACGTCAGATAAACGTTTCGACATCACACGTATGTAATTTTCAATATCACTGTAATAATTATATTTTCATAGGTAATTAGTAATTTACTATATTTCGCGATCACATTAGTTTAACCGTTGTTTTCTAACCTATACTTACATGGATACTTCAAAGAAAATTTTTTTTTAATTTAGTTAACCTCAAACCTGGATTCTCTGTTGCATTTTTTTAATCGCAATTTAGGCAGAAATTTTCATCATGGAACACATGACAATCATGTCCATGATGTTTTTTTTTATTTAAAATAACTGACGATTTTATACTTTATCTCTCATTTAATTAATGTCCATGTTTAATATTCTCCTCATGGTTACAAGGACATGAGGTACTTGTAGGTTATATTCTTAAGTTTTTGGGACGAAGATTTCACATATTTCGTTAAGCGACGTAATCAAGTTATCGTGTGGTATTCATTCTAACGTGAAATACGCAATATTACATTATTTGAAATAGTTTTCGAATTTCTTATAATTTATGTTCTACTAACAAGACATTTTCAGTCATTTATATTTTCTAAAATTGAAAATAAAGTTTATATATTTATGGTTTAGATTATTCGTATCTTTTCTAAAATTAACTGTATTTTTTTCTTTAATAATGTGATAAATTTCTAAAAAATTAAGTTTATAACAATTTTTTTCAATACTTAAAATTTGCGTATTATCAAAATCGAAGGCATGATCATTATCATGAGAATGATAAACAAGAGCAAATGTTTTTTCGTCTAGTGACAATGAATATTCATGCTGATAAATTCGACTTTTTATCTTTTGAATAGTTCTGCCCACGTATACAGAATTACAGTCTTTACATGAAACCTTATAAATTAGGTCTGACTTTAGTAGTTTATTACCTATTATTATTTAATGCAATCGCTTACATAAATTTTGAAAAATATTTAACGCTCGCTGGGATCGAACCCCCTAACCTAACGCTCCGTAATCTAACACGCTAACCATTACGCCAACTTAACGTGAGAAAATAAATACAAAATTGATTTTATAAGTTGCGACTGAGGAAACTGAAGATTTGAGCAACAGAACAATAAAGAAACAATAATTATATATAAATTATAATTTATTTTTAATGTTAAATAATTTATTTAACATAAGTCAGTATTTTCATTTTTTTATTTTATTAAAACTTCGTAACATAATTCTTCTTATTATCTAAAATATAGATAATGTAGTAAAAAAAAGACAAATAAATTTTAGTTTTTGTAAAGAAAAAATCACTTATTTCTTTTGAATTGTTGATAAAATTCTTAGATTAAAATTGTTAAATTTTATTTTTAAATTAACTTAATTAATTTTTCTTTAATTTTTTAAAAAATTAATAATTTTAATAAGTAAATTATTTTAATTAATTAAATTAATTAATTGTTATTTAAATAATTTAAAATTCATAAATATTATTATTAAATAATTATAACTTGAAAAAATATTTTGAAAGGAAATTTAATTTATTATAGTTTTATTTGGTGTTAAAAATTAATTTTTATTTTGAAGTTATGTCATAAAACCATGGCAAGACCGAGTTACTCTAAGGAATGTCATACTTGTGGACAAACTGGCAAGGGCCTTTCCACTGCCTTGACATGTAGTTTTCAAGGTTATATTGCAAACATGGCATAACCAAGTAACTGTCGTTTAATCTGGAAAATGCCTGACTTGTGGAAAAACTGGCAAGGGCCATGAGAGAGCCTTACTTAAAGTAGAACTAAGTAGGGAAATTTCTGCATAGGATAACACATTTTTTATTGTCTTCGATGGAAAATATTATTAACAAATTGATGGTACTCTTATGGGTTCTCCAATTTCTGCGTTTTTCGCTGATATTGTAATGGATGATTTAGAAAGTGATTGCCTTAAAAAATTAAAAATTGAACATAATTGTGAACCTATTTTTTACTTTAGATATGTTGATGACACTATTTTATGTATACATAAAGATCATATTAACCCTGTCATTGAAATTTTTAATTCTTATCACAATAAATTAAAATTCATTTATGAACAAGAAGATAACAATCAAATCAATTATTTAGATATTTCTATAATTATAAAAAATAATATCATTACATACAACTGGTATCAAAAATGATTTTCTTCTGGAAAACTCAACAATTACTTTTCGAATTACCCATTGTAAAAAAAAATAAACATTGTATATAACCTTGTAGACCGAGCAATGTTATTATCACATCATTTGTTTTACAATGACAATTTAATAAAAAATTAATAACATTTTACAAAACAATGATTATCCACTTAAATTGATTTAAAAATAACACCAAAATTCGTTTAAATAGCATTAAATTTCGTAAAAAAATAATAATATAATAATATTGTAAATTCACAAGCACTTTTATATAAACAAATTCCTAAAGTCTGTTTACCTTATAATAACTCGAATTTCATTAGATTGTCAAAAAGTCTAAAAACATAAAATATAAATACTATTTCTATTGTTAATAAACCTTTAAGATGTATTATAAAATTAGATAAAAATCCTATTGACAAGTGGGATGATACGAATATAGTTTCTAAATTTAATTGTAAAAACTGTCCAGCGAATTACATTGGAGAATCTAAACGTTCATTAAAAACACGTATTAATGAGCATAAAAAAACTAAAAATAAAACAGCGGCTCAATCAATAGCACATTGTAAAAAGTAAATCGTATTTTAAGATGAGTCTTAAATTCAGAAGTACTAGCCATAATGTATTTAAATTCAAATTGCATGTAAATTCATTGCTGAGATTCAGCAAGGGCTGTCTTAAAAATGTTGCCTCTTAAAATAAGACACCTTTTCCGTCTTAAAATAAGACTTTATTTTTACTGTGTAGGATTACATCGATCAGAATTGAATCATGAGTTTGATTGGGATAATGTCATTATACTAGATCGTGAACTAAATTATAAAGAACGTTGTTTTTCAGAAATGTTACACATAAAAATTAATGATTTCACTATTAATAAAAAAGATGACATAATGTATCTGAATAAAATCTACTTCCCTTTAGTTTCCAAATTATACTCGTGATTCTATTTTTCGGAAAATATTTTACTTCCACGTGCTGTTTACATCTAAGAGATAGCTAGTCTTCTCTATTTCATTTGGATTTTTAAATTTTGTATTTTGAATTTAGTCTTGACGATACGTGTCTATAAACCTGACGTGCCAACTTAGTCTGAGCAAAATAAAATTTTCTAACGTAAAGATTTAACGGTTCAACTAATTATTATTGGTAATTGTTATTATTTGTGTATTTTTATTATTTATAAAAAAAGATAATGTGGTGTTCTAAATAAAATTATAAATATTTTTATTAGATTTAACCTAAAGATGACGACGAACCAAGTCATCGAAACGTCGTTTTTTATTTTGTGGAAATAAACAAGATTAATAACATACATTTTTTATGTTATTTTATTCCTTCCAAGGATCGAATTTTTCTCATCTTTTTATTAAACATTCCGGAAGGGAAAATTCTTACTCTATATATAAAGAATTGCTTATCAACAATAGTTAAAGAAAATTTTTAAGAATTTTAAACAATGTGCACGTTGATTACTAAGGTTCCTTAATTTAATTCTCAATATTAATGACCCATATTCTCGTAAGTTTTGATTACATATTTTTTAAATAAAGCAAACTCATCAAATAAAAATCACGCAAGACGATTGTCAATATTTTTAAATTTTTCGTATAGGTAATACAAACATTTATTAATATTATCATCAGCATTAAGTCCGATACATATTACAGAAAGAAAAATTTACATTTATAACATTTGATTAAAAAATGTCTTAAAAAAATATTTTTAAATATTCAATAAAAGGAAAAGAAATTTATTTTTTATTATAAAAAAAAAGAAATACAATTTGTCGATGGAAAATTTATCTTTTAATGACAATTTTATTTTAAATATTTAAAAAAGTGCCTATATTTTTTTATTTATATAAAAGTTAATAATCTTCATTTTGCAATTTAAAAGTAATTAAAATTTTCTGCAATAAGATTTTTAAAAACGATGAACAAATGTTTACGTTGCATTAATAATCATATTTTTCATGAGACAATTACAAAATATATACAATGTGTGTATGACGTATAACGAAATACTTTGTAATCGTTTATTTTAATTCAGAAGATTTTGCACATTAGCACATATTTCAGTTTGTAAAAAATTTATTCCATAATTTAACGAGATTGTTATTTTTATTTAAATATATCGGTAAAGGTCAATCAAACATATAAAATTTATTAAATTTTAATAATTATATACTTTTATTTTAGAATTTAATTACGTTTTAATTAAGATTTGTTTAATTCAATTTTAAAACAAAAGTATGATCATTATATAATTTTAAAAAATTTAAATTTTTGATTGACCTTTACCTATATATTTGAGATTATGTGACTATTAAGTCTGTAATGTTAATTTGTCCGTAACTTTTCTCGTGAAATGATGAATGGATTGAGCTCAAATTTAGGTTAAAAAAATCATTGAATAAAAAAATTTCTTTGATTCAAAACATTTAAAAATTTCTTTTTCGTAAATGGAAAAAAAACTTTTTTTAATTCAAACAAATTTTATCTTTGATTCAAAAAGTTAGTGTAAAGAAACGATTTGTTTATTTCAGAGACATTATTTTCTTGATGTACAGCTAAAAGTCACATAACTTTAAAATGATAATAAGGTAAAATTCGTTTTTTATTCTTGAATCTATTTCAAAAATGACATATTTTAAGTTTTATTAATTTTTTGAGAAAAATAAGTGTCTTATAATAGGTTCATAATTTCATACGTGTCTGTAATTATGGGTCGGCAAAAGGCTTTGTCTCAAATCAAGGTACACTTTTTAAATCCCCTTC